ACTCTTATGTGTTCATAAAATAACCTATAGAACAAATGAAATGTCACGAGGATGTGAAAAAATATTTAAATCTATGCGTGTGGTCACTGATTTAAATGTGATAAAGTGTTATGTCACCATGTTTGTTCGTTTGTAAACAGTGAGTCATTCTGTTCTAAAATTAGAAGCGAGTCAGTATCAGGTGCTTGCACTTGGTGCACCACTTCTGTCCGTTTATCAGCTACCGAAATGTGCAACAGAGGAAATACTCCCCGTCTATTGGAGATACATTTTGGTGTTATACTTTTGTATCCACATAAGAGATATTATATTTATATGATCCGAATGCATTTATGCTTTTAAATATAATTTTGTTATTTGTGTTTTGCGACAAAGAAAAAAAAGAAACATTTTCATTAAAATTTTGTTGTGTTTTACAATAGCCAGGATGCGAAATACATCACCGGAATGTCGCTGTAATGTCTAGTACCAAGGCACAGATTAATTTGCATATGCCACGTACCTGTCACGTTTTTCGGTTTATTATACACACTAATCTTAAAACATTCAAATTAATCTACTAAGTTCTAAATGTTAGACACATAGTAAGCTTAATGACAGAGATACCAGAGATTTGCATTCCTAGCAATCTTACAATTTTGAAATTTTGAATGTAAACAAGCGGTATAAATAAATAAGAATAAAGGTGAAGATAATATAAATACGAAATATTTATAATAAATAATATCGCATATGTAAGGCTACAATGACAGACAACCATGTTAATGTTTCGTCAAACTAACAAAGGCTTAGTAGTTGGGGCAAGACATTTCACATTTTTAACATCAAACTTACCGCGGTTAAATAAACAAGGCATTTCACATACGTTACAAGTGTACAGTAAATACTCATGTCCTGAAATAACAGAACCCTACAAACAAGGTCAAGGATTTTTATAAATATTTATTACATAATTACTAATAAATACGTTTTTTTTGTATATGCGATACGACACAATTTCTCTAACCCATATCAGCCCTCGCCGTACCACACCCCAAAATCCGTATTAGCCCCGCTGTATCACACCCAAAAACCCGTATCAGCCCTCACCGTATCAGCCCGCGAAACCCGTATCACACCCCTTTTGGAAATTTTTCGATTTTCAATATTCCAAAAGAAAAAAAAATCATAAGATAGTAGCTTTTATTAGTAAGTTTGTCATAAACAGAATAACACAGGCCTTTTTCTATATCACACCCAGTTTCAACCCTCGACCAATATCAGCCCTCAGGCCTTCGGCCCTCGGGCTGATATAGCAGTCTCGGGTTGATACTGCGTGTGATATGAGAAAAGGCATGTTTTATTCTCTAAATATTAAATGAGTAAATGCAATTAATGCTCGTTTTGTCATTATATTTTAAATAATGGGGTTAGTAATTTTGTTTGCCTGGAATGTATTTATATGTAAAGCATTTATTTATTTAGATATGCGAGTACATTGATAAATTCATCTGTGATGTGTCTGTGTGTGTCTGTGTGTGTATGTGTGTGTCTGTGTCTGTGTGTGTGTCTCTGTGTGTATTAATGTTTATTTGATGTATGTTGACAGAGATGCATTTCTGTTCCTATTTTACTTTAGTACAAATATCAATTTTGCTTGATGTCTTTTTGTGTCACAAGAATTTAATATACGAATTATGCAAAATTTGCATTTGACATTGCACTCAATACGAAAATCGTTAAAAGTTCGCTGCATGTATTATTTTGCGTTAAAGAGAAGTCGACCGCAAATACAACAAGAGGCCCAATGGGCTTAAATCGCTCACCTGGTATTAATCTCACACTTGTAATCTTATACGATTACAGGCAAAATATCTGTGTTCGACTCATTAGAATCTATTAAATTATTTAAACATATGACGCCTGTAACTTTGAAAATTGAACAAGGACATTAAGTTGAACAGAGTTTATAGCCTTTCGTCCCAGCATTCTTCTGGCCAAATATCATTACCCTGGACCTTTTGAATATTCATACCAAGTCATTCAAAGATTTAAACATATTTGATCCTTGCGGCCTTGAATATGAAGGTCATTCATTTGAACAAACTTGGTAGCCCTTCCTCCCAGCATCTCACTGGCAAAATATCATAACCCTAGACCTCTTGGTAATTCAAAAGAAGTCGTTTAAAGGTTTTAAACATGTTTGACTCGAGCGATCATGAATATAAGTCAAGGTCATTCGTTAGAACAAACTTGGTTGCCCTTTAACTCAGCTTGCTACTGGCCTAATACCATCATCATATGCCTCTTGGTTGTTGATAAGAAGTTGTTTAAAGGTTTTAAACATATTTGACCCCTGTGACCTTGAAAATAGGTGAAGGTCATTTGTTTAAACAAACTTGGAAGCCCTTCATCCCAGCATGCTCCTGATCTTATATCATCATCCAAGGCCTTTTGGTTATTTAGAAGAAGTTGTTTAAAGGTTTTCAACATATTTGACCCCTGTGACCTTGAAAATGGGCGAAGGTCATTTATTTGAACAAACTTGGCAGCACTTCATCCAAGCATGTTACTGGCCAAATATCATTAGCATATGCCTCTTTGGTATTCAGAAGAAGTTGTTTAAAGGTTTTTAACATATTTGACTTCTGTGACCTTGAGCATGGCTGAAGGTAATTTGTTTGAACACATTTGGTAGCCCTTCATCCCAGCATGCTCCTGGCCAAATATTATTATCCAATGCTGTTTGTTTATTGAGAAAAAGTTGTTTTAAAGGTTTTAAACATACTTTTAAAATGAGTGAAGGTCATCCATTTGAACAAACTTGGTAGCCCTTCATGCCAACATCCTTCTGACCAAATATCATCACCAAGGACCTTTTGGTAATATAGAAGAGGTCGCTTAAGAGATGTTAAGACAATTGACCCCTGTGACCTTGAATATGAGTGAAGGTCATTTGTTTGAACAAACTTGGCAGCCCTTCATCCCAACATCCTTCTGACCAAATATCATCATCCTGGACCTTTCGATATTACAGAAGAAGTTGTTTCAAGGTTTTTAAGACAATTGACCCCTGTGACCTTGAATATGGGCAAAGGTAATTTGTTTGAACAAACTTGATAGCCCTTCATCCCTGCATGCTACTGACCAAATGCCATCAACCTGAAACTTTTGGTTATTCAGAAGAAGATGTTTAAATATTTCAACATATTCGACCCCTGTGACATTGAATATGGGTGAATGTCATTCATTTGAACAAACTTGGTAGCCCTACATCGAAGCATGTTACTGGCCAAATATCAACACCCTAGACCTCTTGGTTATTTAGAAGAAATTGTTTAAAAGTTTTAACATATTTGACCCCCTATGATCTTGAATAAGGGCGAAGGTCATTCTTTTGAACAAACTTGGTAGTGTTTCATCCTGGCATGTTATTTGCTAAATATCATCATTCAGGGCATCTTGGTTATTCAGAAGAAGTTGTTTTAAGTAAAAAGTTGACGCCGTACGGACGACTGACGACGGACGCCGCGCCATGCCATAAGCTCACTGGGCCCTTCGGGCCAGGTGAGCTAAAATCAGTTTCTCGTGAAATTGTATCTGAAAACATTTTTTTTTTCCAAATGCATTCTGCACAATGTATTGTAAACTAAAAGCATATACATATAAAATAGTCCAGGGTGGTTTGGTATGTAAGTCGGTTGGCTAAGTTGGGTCCATTTCTATGCACATAAATCTTTCCAGCATTCCAGTATACTGCTGGTTAACATTCGTTTTGCTCTGATAATGCGCTATGCAGTCGAGGATAATAATGACTATTAAGCAAGTTGTCGTCACCACACAACACACCAGTGAATGTTTTTAAGGTATTTCATTTATCTCTTCTTGGTTACGAGGTAGAGCATGAAGATATATGGGTCACACTAAGGTGGTTCAACATTAGATGTCACATAAAATGATTTATCATTGCAAATTATATTTTGTGATAACAAACACTAATTATAAAAGGAGTTAAATAAATCTTATATGACATTTACACGAATGTAAGATTCTATTTATCAAACAGACAAAATTTGAAATTTCAAACACAATTATGCTTTATCAGCTGACTCGAAATAGGTCAAAACCAAAGTACTCCGATCATAGTATTGTCGTTCCGCAGAGTGTAAAAAAGTTGCATTTTTTTAAAGTAACGAACAATGTTAAATGCAATGAAACTAAAAATGAAATAGACATTCGAATTCATTTAAATTATTCAATAAATGTATCACGTGGTATAGTTAATAAAAGAAGTGCCTGTAGTGGCAGAGGAATATATTCCCACGATTTTGACCAATTGCAGCACGTTTAGGTGGTAATACACATGAGTATTACCATATTTATGACATGGCCGTACACATGCGTTTTACTATATTTATGACATGGCCGTACACATGCGTATTACTATATTTATGACATGGCCGTACACATGCGTATTACCATATTTATGACATGGCCGTACACATGCGTATTACCATATGTATGACATGGCCGTACACATGCGTATTATCATATTTATGACATGGCCGTACACATGCGTATTACCATATTTACGATATGGCCGTATGGCATAGTAAAATGGATCTGTTATGTGATACACGTTGTTATCTTATATGATACACGTTGTTATCACAGATGATACTTTGTTGTCACATGTTTCGCTTTGTTGTCACGTATGTTGCTTTGTTGTAAAATATGTTGTTTTGTTGTCACATATGATACCTCATTGTCACATATATTGTTTTTATGAGAAGAAATATCACCCTTTAGTGTCTAAGAAATAACGTATAGGTCGAATTACATGTCCTGTAAATAACAACAACAAAATATCAAGAAGCAATGAGTTTGGCCACTGATCTATATGTGAAAAAATGTGTTGTCGACATGTCCATTAAAGTCAGTCATTCTGTTCTAAAACAAAATGCATGAATACATTTTTAATAAATTTAATACAATTTGCAATACAACATATTGCAGTGAAATCAGTATTATGAGCAAATTAGGAAATGATGTCGTAGTATCGTAACACGGACATCTGAACCAAATTGTTATTATATTTTCTATCTATTAAAAATGTAAACCCTGACTACTTAGCTACGTCTGACATGACAGATTGCAATATTTGAAAACTTTAACTGGTCCATTGTTTTTGTCTGCTTTAATTACCAGTTCAAAGTACGTTAATTCAATAGATCAATATACATTCAAAGTATTTTGAAAAGAAGCACCCTTAACATACATATGACATAGCAATTCCTGTAGCGTTGCTTGCATAAAACATTACAGCTAGTAATCAAACTGTTTGGCAAATGGATTAAACTGGCTTCCATGAAAAGTAAATCAACTCAATGAGCACATCCTATGTTTCAAATCCAACACATGCGTAGTGCACCGTTTCCGGACAGCACATGGTAGGTAAAAAGGCATTTTCTTTAAAATCCTCGCAATTTCCGTAGCTCACGTGTCCTTTCGGACACATGAAGTGACATTTGCAGTACTTAAGCCAAAAAGGGGACACGCACTTTTTGGTGACAGGCGTCTTCTGTCCCGGAACTAATTGGCCAAACATCCCTTGCATGCCTGCACCTATACCTCCTCCTCCAATTCCGATCTCCATACCACTTCCCATTCCACCTCCAAATAAACCACCCATTCCGCCTCCCATTAATCCTTCGAACATCCCATCCATTCCACCCATAGTGCTTCTTGATCCGCCCATGGCGCCTCTCATCATGCCATCCATTCCACCTCCAAGGAAACCTTCCATTTCACCCATGGCGCCTCCAGCTCCTCCCATGCCGCCTCCGAAAAGACCACCCATTCCACCTATGGCGCTTCCGAGTCCTGCGCCTTCCATTCCACCCATTGCTCCCGTTCCGTGTCCCATGCCGCCCATTGCAGCCATGGCAGCGCCCATTCCACCAAATAGGTCACCATCTGTAATTAAACACTACAGTGTATACGGCTTAACACGGTTGCCATTGCAAATACCGAATAAAGCATTAAATGCAAAAGTTTAATTCATATCGTTAAAACGCGTTCTACTATAGTTCCGACTCTTCTTCGGATACATTATTGTGCTTTGTCGTCTGCCCATTTACGTGATTCACTGCGTTAATGGACGAACTAGCATTTGTCAGATGTTATTGCTCTGATGATTTCGGTATAATTCGCTGTGTTTACGGTATCAGACAAACCTTTGTATTGCATACAGCTTACTTGGGAGTTTTCTTGATCTTTTCAAGTAATGAATCAATTACGAGAGGAATTAGTCAAAGAATTGTGCAGAAATCATATTTCAGTACCTATCTCATGTCAAGATATGCTTCATAGCTTGATATTTAAATCTTATTAATTGAAGGTCGTTTTTCCAAAGAAACTTTTTAAGATAATGTCGTGTTTATAATATCTCGACAATTAACATTGAAATGAAGATAATGGAGACTGGGAATTTGTCGTAAGGAAAAAGCAGATACAACCTACATAATATAGATGTGCAAGAACGTCCGCATCTTGATGTGATCGTATTTATCTCAAATTTCCCTCTCAAGCGTAAACTTGCTTATGAAGAATTAAAAGTAGGGAAGCGTATGATGCTTTTTTTTTTTTTTATTAATTTCCGTTCCAAGATCTAATCTCAAACAAACCAAAACTAAGTGAAAAACACGTTTTAATTGAAAATGTTCCAAACACCCCCAAAGCAAATCTTGAAATCGTATATGATGCATTAGAAAGAGCTCGCAGTGCCATCATACATTTACATTAAAGTTTGAGCAAAATTAGACTTGGTACATTTTCCGGTTACCGTAATAATGAAGACTTGCTAAGAAAACCAGTTGAAACTAATCACACCATTCTATTACAAACGAACGTTCATGTTTTATCTTTGAAATAGAAGATGATGTAAATCACTTCATTTATTTGCGAGGGTTGTTTTTTCAAGTAAATTGGCAAGGTGCTTCAAAGAATAGCGTTGAGTCAATAATTTGCGAATAAAACCTTCAAGCATAGTTAGTTGAATTGAGTTGGAACGAAATTAAAGATATTAACAGTATAATGATATACAGTTATAATATTTGCAATCATCTAACTTTGTACAGTAGGTCCAGTATTATCGTAAACTGCGTTTTCAATTAATGAATTATATGATATAAAGTTAAATGTGAGGATTTCTTTCGAAATTTTATTTCTGATAAATTTCTACGTTTTCCCTTATTCGTTTTTATATATTTTTAAATGAGATTATTTTAATTAATTACCATATTATAAAAAATAGACAATAATGCAGAAGCCGATACAATAGGAATTTTTTCATAAAAAAACCCATTTTAATTTTGTTTTTATATTCACCTTATTAAACTATTATATTTAAATTCTCAAAAAAGAAAATTGATAACGTTTATGTACCAAAACCTCTGAATTGGTACCTGTTGTGGAAGACGAACGAAGAAATATAATTCTAGGTTTACCAGGTATTGAAATATAGTTGCTTTTTCGAATGAAATCTACATTTAAGAACAAAATAATAACGTTATTAGGTCGCTACCTTTTCATTTAGATTGTTATCAAAAACAAAATTTTATATGAGAAACAATGCTGTAAAGCTTTTACGTCATGATATTTAAGGACCCATGCTGATGATTTTTTATTCTCCTTGCTAAACCCAGATGAACTGTTTCTGAAGAACTAATGCATATTTTTACTTAAGTAATACCGAAGAAGATCAGAAATCATGTAATTGCATTACAGTTTGAAAATGCAACACACATGTTACCATTTAGTGTATAACTATATGTCTTTATTTAAAATTTAAGAAAAGCATCTACAAAAACAAATCGATGAACTATTACTTACCAAATATAAATGCTTGTGTTACATGGAGCACAGTGAAGGCAACTAGCGAGAACGTTAGCCCGGAATACCCCATCCTGATGATACTCTGCTAAACTTCTGCTGAAAGGATGGTTCATACTATACATATATGAACACAGAGCACTTGTTGCATTTGAGGCACCGACAGGTAAAATGCATTCACACCTGCTATTCTTAATTACTTGTAAAAGTGTGTATATCAAAATAATTTGTTACTGAACGATCAACTTAGTTTTATGTCCATATTATGGTTCAACTACATCGTAATTAATTATTTTTATATTTTCATCGCGTTTTACAATTAATAAGATTATTATTGTACCCTTCGTTGGACGTTTTCCCTCTCATTATTAGTAAAAATGAGACATTTGATGAAAAACAACATCTAGCAATCAAAATATATAGCCGCCGCTTATTGCATTAAGTAACCATGAAAGTAATAATAATGATAAATGTTGGGCCACGGGAGGTGCTAGGCGAATGACGTGGAACCACTAGGACATTGTGTATGGTAGCGTGTGACAACTCAAGTACATGTACATCAACATTAGCCTTTAGTGTCGCGGATGTCTGCAAGTGACAACGTTAATAGGAAGTGGCGGACAACAAATTCCTCTGATAAATACACTTTTATTGTAAATGGGCAAAACATGAAATAAACATGTCCATTATAGGATGATAAGTGTACATAATGTATCCACTGAACATTATATTAATGTTTTTCGCCTTCTTGTCTCTCTGTAAAATTTAATTAAAACAATGCATTTGTGTTGTATATTTGGACTTGAAATTCCGGATTAAAGATGACTTAAAACACAATTTTAAAAGATATTATTAATTAAGTAATTATTTTTCACGTTTATCGAATTCCTCTCATAATTTTTTTTCTTACCGTTTGAAATGGTTTGAAACTCAAACGCAACATCCCGAACATACATCAGCATGTACGATCAATCACTTCTAATACGGAAACACAATAAAGGAAGGGGGTTAAACACGACGTTGTAATAATTTTGAATTTATGATAAACTTATTTATACAACTGCTCCATTTTGTTGAGCACGTTCGTGTAACCTGTCAAACGAGTCCACACCAAATCGTAATTTGTTGAACAACACTTCCAAGATAATTTGCATAATTGCTCATTTAAATAGTTCCCACGTAAACAGCAGAACAAAATGGGGCTTGACATATAATGTACCCATTAACCTATTAAGGGAATATGTTATTGTTCTCTTGAGAACACCAACGATCCAAACATCTTTCATGTGTCCTTAAGTGATGGCGGAAAGAAGTGAAATTGTAGCGTCATTAATCCAGATGGTCATTTTATCCCAGACAACGATGAAACAGTTACATATAGTCACGTGGCACATATTTTTTACGTAGCAGGATACAAGATGTCGGATTGTTTTCCCACACATATTTCTGAGCATTGATTTATAACAGGTAAAGGGAGTTCACAGAATGAAGAAAGACTAAAGCATTGTCCAACACCAACGTTACGTCTTTCGGAATACCTATGTTGCATATGATATTTTGGATTTTGTATGAAACAATGCCACAGTGAAATAGCAGTGCAGTACCTTTATTTTGTCATGAAGATGTCTTTATTTCATAAATATTTACCTGAATTGATTTACTCTGCGATACCAAAAAATGTCGTTAGACATTTCTTTGACATTTGCGGCCTTGGTAAAGGACAAATTATCCAGCAATATCCGCTTGACAGCTAGATAGACAGATAGCCGAGTCATATTGATCAGTAAAGCTTTCAAGCTACGTTGAGGAAATTATACCATATCTTAGACCATAAGTGACGATACATTTTCATGGAATGGATAGGAAACATCACGTGGAGTGCCTTGGGGATCACCTTTTGGGCTATTTTGTTGGTTTTGAATTGAAGATTTACGATGTTTATCCATTTTTACTGCCTTTTTGGTTACAGTGGCATGCATTTGCGTCATCTTACTTTAATAACCAGTTTTATTGGTAACATGCAAATAAAATAACTAGAAGGTTAAACATGTTACAGAATTAACCTACTTTTACAGGTTGAATACATAATGCATATCATCGCATAGAATACATGGAGTTATACTTCCAGTATAAATATTTTCAAAATCAAACTGTAGTTTTTCTATAATGACCTGAACAAAACAACATATTTCCCCGTTTTTCCTTTTGGCCCACTCATTACTGTTCTATACAGGGACTGATTGATAAAAAAGAAACCTCATTTCATGATTACTTAACCCAAGATTTTTTTGGAAAATAATTTGCCGAACACAGCTGTTTTCTCTCTATCATTTATTTACGTAACAAAGTGTTATATATATCTTATGCACATTGAACATAATAATATCACAATGATATTCATAATAAGTAGCATTTACATATATCTATATCTATAATGGTTATGTAAGGAAACAACCTAACAACTTTTCATTAAATAGGATTGTTATTTTAAATACCTGTTTAAAATACATCGTTGTATCATCCACAGCTAGCATCCTTTCACCAGCACCATACACAATACATATATCAGTTGGCTAGATTATATAGTTTCATAACTTTATCCCTGTACATTAACGTAATTCCTAGATGAAATACATAGTACATATTGATACATAGTATTCAATACAAATTGGGAAACATTTCTCGTGTCAGCTCAACTACTCCCTTAACTATCACCAACCAGATAGACCTTCCTTCCTCTTTGTACAATTTTATAACTTAATACATAACCAAGTTTAACTTCGTATCTCGGGGTAAAAGACCATTCCCGCTATCAGATGTAATTCATCTCAAATATATACTGTACATAACAAATATGTTACTTGTCAGTTTCAAAACTGTGTTCTTTTTCATAATGTAACATGATTGGAATTACATCAGTTTGGTGACTGTTCGGTGGGGAAATATACAAACATCGTAGTTAAAACATTTAGATATTGCATCTGCAATAATACATTGAGCTGATGAAAACGTCATTCAATCGATGAACATAGGAAAAGTACGAAATGAAAATAACTAGTTGTAAAAATCAAAATCAGATTGGCTAACAAAAATACCCACATATTCCATACTTCTACCGTAACTTTTCAGTTTGTTATTAATAAAGTGTAAGTTAATAAAGATCAGCTAAAATATATCCAAAATTCAAACAATGGTGACCATACCAAAGCCACATCCAACAAATTTGGTAAGAAATTTACATTTCGATTCTTGTGCATTGAAGCTTATGTATAATTCTTGTACTTAATTAACAAATAAAGACAACACTATGTAGCTGATTCAGAAAGTAAATATGCCACTAATCGAACTCATATATATATATTCACAGTTTGGACTCTGTCGTCTCTATAGTAGCAGTGGTTTTGATGTGATTGGTTCCATTTTTCAAAATTCCTTTTACGCCATTTTCCTCTGATTTTTCCTCCGTCTGGGTAGGTTTTATTTCCTCCAATTGCTTTTTGTTTAGCTGTAGTGAGTCCACTTTGTCTCTATCGCCGATGGCTATTATATCATGTGTGAACTCGGACTTTTCTCTCCGTACTTCATCTTCGTAGTTAAAAACCGTATTGTTGTACCAGTTTGGCTCGCTAGAGTCCTTTGGTGGTATTCCAAGTACCTCGTCAGTGTTTAAATTTGCTGTAGATGGGTGACTTCCAAGTTTGAAAGGGTGTTTTCCTTCCTGCAAACGCCGTTTGGCACGAATGACCAATGGAATTAATAGAGCCATAAACACTATAAATAGAACAAGCACTCCCGCAAAGATGGCGGCGCCTGATGAGTATTCTTTCACACTCTTATCCTCAACACGCTTGTCTCGGTGAACGGCTAACGGCAGGGCGTTTGAAAGGATTTTATGGTCGCTTTCACTGACCAAAAAGACCTGGAAAAAAACCCAATTGAAAACTGTCAATGATCGATTAATGTATGCTATCACATTATGTAAAAAGATTTCTTAATATATTGGATGATTGCTTTTTCTTTGCTGTTATTTGAATGAAAGCATTTTTATTCACTGTGACGGAAGTATATAATCAAGGACTAATCACGGTACACGATAATTCTGAAAGGCTAACTACGCATACATTATACTTACATTGAAAATAACTTCAGTCGAAGTCTCTATATCCTCCGAATTATTAACCACCAAGAAGTTGTCGTCATCGATCATGAATGCGTCGGTGCCAACGACCAGGAAACTTTCATTAACCTTTATGTTGGTAAGATTAGAAATACAGGCCATAATGGAAAGTGAGCAAATTCCATCAAATTTGGTATAGAAAATAATAACCATGATCCGAAACAGTCAGAGTCACCTTGTCACAATGTGGTACACTGTAACTCCAAGTAAACCACTAGCGGTAAACCTTGACCCTTGTCATTTGAAGTAAATCGGCTGACGCTAAATTATTTTAGACAAAATGTAACAGAACTCCTAATGACAGCACATACTTACTGATGAAATATGGAACAGATAAATTATATTAAAACATGCTGACCGCAGGCTAGGCGACACTTGATCAAAGCTACCGGACAATTGTTTTTAGAGTCGAAAGTTCAAGTAAATAATATATACACCGCATACATTGTTAAAAATATACAAAATAAATATCATTTTATATTTCGCAAACCGCGGCTTATTTTTTTTGTAAAAATATTTATATTTGCACGAGAAAAAAAAACCTGGAATATGTCATGACGTTTCACTATTGACTGGTACTGCTCTTAAAATGGATAAGATTGGTAAACAAGTATAACAAGTTATATTCAATGATTCCATTATATCACAAATGTACTAACATACCCCGATGATATTCCCCTTCACATCCAGCCGGATATATTCTGTATCTACTCCCTTCCGGATGTCGTTCTCGATTGAGTGTAGCCGGACCATGGATCCATGCTGGGCGTCCGGAAGTACATACCCTTCTTTGATATCACTAGGTATCGTGTCAATTTCATACTCATAGTTAGTATATGGAATATTTCCTGTAAAATGGCCAGATAAACATGTCATTTAGATCTTAATATGATGAATCTAAGTGTTACACCTGAACCGGTAAGAAATAGATATATTACTATATGTACAATGTAGAATCATAGTGTTTAAGAAAAGTGATAAGATTTTCACAGCTACAAAATGTAGGCTACAGTATGCTTAATTGTCATTCCAAAATTTCACGTTAGTCATGTTTGACCTTTCCGAGAAAATTGCATCGATTACAATTGGCATTTATTCTATTTCCGGATGAGTGACGTTTGTATGTGTTGTAAGTACATGTACGACTCTATATTTTTTATTTTTTGTCATCATAAATATGTGATGTACACATTAAGGATGGGCCGGCACACACCCGTAACTATGAGATACCTCTAATCACCGATACATTCTAGAAACTCCACGGGTAACGTTCACTTACGTTTGGTACACCTCTAGAATTTGCCATAGCTAAATTGAAGGCACGCGAATAACTAACTGTATTTGATTTGTCTCAGGTAAAAAAAAAACAATCCTTGAAATGTCCTAGGAACATTACAGTAAACCGACACACGATTTACAAGTAAACAATTTTTCCGTTTAGCTGCCACGATGTCATTAGATGTAAATCAAAAGATCAAACTAGTCTTCTGATCTCATCTAGAAAGTGGCGTACACTGAGCCATCGATTCTGTCATGAAATATTCCAGGGGTGCAGAAAATGTGAGTGAGCGTAACTCCTGGAGTATTGAGGCAGATGTAAACACAACTTAATATAAGTAGACAAATATACAGTCTGTAACTCACCTGATACGAACAGACATCGACACATAATGGCGACTGTTAGGTGCAAAAGTTTGAAGAATGCCATTTTTGCCAACTGTAAATAGAAGCCAATGCAAACGTTCTTATATCTCGACTATTTAAACCTCACTTCAATGCAGATACCTCTCTATCATGATATAATGATTTGCTTCATGTCAACAAAACAAACCGATTAAATGAATGTGCATCGTCTTTAGTCTGTCATTTTATTTCATTCCGCATTTTTTGAGATTGGTAACGAAATATTCATTTATTTTTCACATCTCGTTTTTTTTAATTCCCTATTCGTCTCAGGAAAACATTAACTGAATGAGAAGTTAGTAATAAAATACGTTATCTTTTAAACAAGCAAAACTAGCACATGACGTCAACAATAATTATAAAATGATGATCAAGTTAATTTTTTAATAGAACACGCAAAATATATTTTTAAGTTAAATCACAGTTCCCAGAATATTCCTGGGTTGGCTTTGTGCTTACAGCAAAATATCAGCAGAACTATAGAACTCATTTGCATTATCAAAAATAAAAACCGAGATATTAAATTCAATTCGATAGACTGCAAAACTTGGAATTAAGTGAAGGAGGCATTAGTTGTTCAAAAAGCACAAAAAGACACCTCTTTATAAGACAAAAACCACTGTCCCAAGAGGCGCCACACAAGGTATATTCATGTGAGAAACAATGTTCCATAAGGTATATTTCAACAGAAAATAGTTTCATACAAATTAAAGTCCCACTGGAAACGACGTCATACATGGTATATCCCGCGTGAAACGGCGTCACCTAGGAATGTTACCCGTGGTCAAGTATGGTATTCTGAAGTCAGCGAATTCGGGGACAGATGTGAAACAAATTGTGTTATGATAACGTCAACGTATTTTAAAACAGAAGTATATTAACTATGGTATCAAATACGTTTTAGTTCTACTTACCAGCTTAGCCGCCTATCACTGCTACAGACAATCCCTGGAATAGATAGCATCATACGAGTCATTGCAGAATTTACAGAAATATTAGTATAACTTCCCTGATGCATCATGATTCGGGACTGTAAGTATACGTCATGATACCTATGTAGTAGGGGTCATCTGTCTAACGTTTATTTGATAACAGTATTGTCTACCAATCAGATAGCCCTATCAGTATTCAAAATAACATTTCATTTAGCACACAGACGTTTCTGTTGTTCAAATAAAATGGTCCGAAACACAAAAATCAACTATAATCACCTTACTTTTATCATTCAGGGGCGTTATTGATATCGAGTAACAATAGAAATAAACATATTGACGAGGACATTGAAAATACATCGGGGCGGAAATCCTGATGACATACTAGTTGATATTTAACTATGATAATCACATCAGAAAACAAAATTGCTAAACAGAATGTGCAATATTTAAATTATGGTTACTGATAGCATTATTTCTTATGAAATAATACATTGTAACAAGTCAGTTTCCTTGTTTAATTATCAGTGTCCCTCTCCCTTCCAACACAAGTGCCCCAGAAAGATTCTGAAACCTACTGGCCGAGAAAAGTGTCCATTGGAACAGTGAAAGAAACAGCAGGGTTCGATTAGATATGTACCTTAATATAAAAACAACCGCCACTAGCAATGGTACGAACATGTTCTGAGGATTGAAACAAACGCACACCAACGCATCGCACTCGGCTGGGCAACAGAATGAAAAAAGAGGAGAAAGAACAAAAGGGACACGGAGGAGAATCATTGAAAGAGAGTCAAAAGTAAATAAAAAACTACGGTCGGTAAAACACTACAGACTTCCACTGTAGTTTTTGTACATACAGTGTAACTTCCCCTTAACTTTGTGTTTGATATAAATTTAGTGAACCTGTGACAGACAACTACCGTTTCGCAGACAGGGTTCTAAGATACAACCATCGACTAGATATCTCCGACGGTTAGACCGACGTTACAAGGAACCGAACATCAATGGTTTGACTCCTAGTGTAGCCCGCTACATGTTTGAACTCACACATGTAACATTAATCATAATTGTTAATTATTGTTTTGAGTATTTTTTAAATTTCATCAAAAACCTGTTTTTTTAAAATTGGATTATCAATCAGTTGTTGGCAGTGTGGCACGGGAAGTCTTAAATGACCAATGGTCAGTTAGGTGTAATTTTCGCTATCAGAGATGTACGGAGGCAATACTCGACTTTAATCTTTACCCTAGTTCGATAGCATACAATGCAATCTATGTCAGCGACACACCGTATGTTTACCTCAGAATCACGATATTTTGATGTAAATAACCGCGACAAATCCAATAAGCAATATATCTTATCTGACACACTTTCGAATCTTTAAGTAAGAGGGATACGTCGGTATAAATATCCAGGTATTTCATTATTGAAATGATAAAATGTGTCTTTGCACAAGCTGTAAGAAGACAAAATTTATTACAATATAATTCGGCCTATTAATTGACCTATTAATTTTATACAGTGATATGTTATGTGAAGGGTATATAATCGTTAAAGAAGTTACATATGTACAATCTAATAGTAGGTGATTAATGAAGACAAGATAATATGAATTTACTATCCTTTTATTAGATTTTCTTTGGCCTATTTACATATGGAGTGGTGTATTATGTGAGGGTTATCTTATCTTGTTATTTGTGAAGTGATCAGAAGGGAATAAGGGTTAATACCGTTATCTTACCTATATAACTATACGCATTTGTAACACAAATCCACGAATTGTCAGTTACTTCAAAAACACCCAACACTTAACCACGAAATATTACTACATAAATGTTACTACATAAAACTGCGAAATGTCAATTATATTAACAATGTCCAAAAACACCCACAAATGTCAATCAAAAACGCAAAAGCAAGAAATGTTAATTAATAGGTCAATGTCTAATACAAAAGCACGAAATATAAATTGCTTCTCAATTATCCAACACAAAACCACGAAATGCATATTACTTCACAAACATCATATTAAAAAACAACGAAATATCAATTCGTCTACTACAGAAAACTGCAAAATGTCAAGTAATTTATCAAGGTTCATACAAATACAATGTTCAACTAAACGTTTATTTCTAAACAAAAGTCTGATGCAAAAACAAAGAAATGTCAATTAATTCACAAACGTGCTACACAAAAACAACGAAATGTCAAGTACTACACAAATATCTAACACTTAACTACATGTACGAACAGATTATTACTTCCATAAACGTCTGCAACGAAACTGCGAAACATTGCGTTCATCATTAAGGGAAAAAACAAACAAGTTTCTGCACAAATTAATTAATGCAAAACTGCGAATGTCAATTAATTCCTCAAGGTCACACAGAAAATCACGGAATGTCAATTACTACAAAAACGTCTGCAACAAAACTACAAAATGTCAATTAGGGTAATACACCAAAACCGCAAAATGTCAATTGCACCATCAAGGTCTAACTGCTTAATGTAAATTTCTACACAAACGCCTAACAAAAATCTGCGAAATGTCAATTACATTATCATTATTCAACATAACAACGAAATGCAAATAGCGCCATAATCAATTAATTCATCAAGATCCGACATAGAACCACGACGTGTTCAACATGTGTCACCATGTTTACTGTCAGCTTCTCCACTACATCTGTCCTATCATACGAATTATCATATTCTTTATAATACAACGTAGCATAATAATACATAACGATATATTACGAAATGAAATGGACCCTGGTTTTAATCCCCTATATAGATAACAACTTAGCAAACTAAAGCTTCGTCATATATTACATCGCCATGGGAAAAAGTAGAGGTAACCGATTAAATAGATTGCAATTGGAGGTTACAACGTGTTGAGATTCGGAATCAACGCAATCAGCACCATCCTTTTCCCATTGTGTGCGGGTTTTTTTGTTTTTTTTAGAATAAAATTATTTTTCTTACTTTGGTAGTATAGAATTATATAATAAATCAATATTCTATAATGCAGACAAAATCTGCAAAAAAATCCTAAAACAAATAAAGTTAAAATGACAGTTTAAGTCATCACAGATACATGCTGTATAATCTCATATAAGTATATATATAATGTATACGTATCCTCTCACAGGAGGCACATTTTTGAAATTATTTTTTTGCTTGTTCATGTTCTGGAGTTCAATATCTGAGAAGTGTTTTTTTAACAAACATTACTTATAACTAGACATCACACAATGTATACATTTACATCACACCACAACGACATAAACTATTACAATGCTATATCCATATTCTGACTTAATTACAATTTAGATCTACATTGTTTTTTTAGTAGAATTCAATTGAGCATCGTATAAATATTGTATAGATATATGTTGGATGGACAAAAATGATTTGGCACAAGTTCTTACATCTTAATTAAGCCCTCTCCTAACTTAAATACATTTTACGTACATCGTAGCTGTCTTAACATGTACATTTCATTTTTTTTTTTATTTTTTATTTTTTTAAATTTAAGTTGAATTATTAAAATAGGTTGTTGACGACTGTTTCTCTGTACCCCGACCTACTCATAGAGAATTAACCGAGGTTTTCACACAGATAAAGAAA